TTTAATAAGGCACTTATTTAGATGTTATTCAGTATTAAAACCTAGTCAGAATATCTGCAGATAGGCGTTGATTTGGCAATTATGCCATGGAAAGATGCATAGAGTATTGAGTGTGTCCTTTATTCAACGTCACTTGTTAATTTTATAAATATTCCAAAGTAGGCAGATGCTTAAAAATGATCAAAAACATGAGTCTCTGGAGGACAATAATTTGTTCTAGTGATTCTTAAGACAGTTTTTAGTCAAAACATACAGTATGTAGCAGCAATCGGAAGTAGAATTTTTACCATCAGAAGATTGGATTAAAGAGGACATAAAAGAAAGAAAAGAGCAACTGGAATAAAGGCAGACTTGAAAGAATCATTAAATGTGTAAAGGACAATTGATAGAAGATGTAAAAATAATGTTTAACTTTCATATTATACGACAGCACTGTATAAATTTGCATTGAACAATAAATTGGTTTGTCCCATCTGGGTTTTCGTTCACTGAAAAACGTACGACAAGGTTATTCAGAATTATATAATGAAGAGTTAACGTGGATTTCAATAGTTTTACACATTAAAAGTCTTACATATACCTGTATATGAATATATATAGTTGATAGCTAAGTTATACACGAGTTTAAAGAGCCTTTCTTAGCTTTGTCTGTTATACATGGTAGTTTTTACTCAAAGTTATCTAAAAATCATCAGAAGCAATCTTTTGCCGGTAATATTTAGCTCGTAAACAAATCAAATAAAAAACGGATAAAAAAATACAGATCATATGATTTCTTAATTAATAACTTCAAGCAAAATTATTCCTCCCATCATGTTTTTTAAACAACTTTTCAAGGAGATAAGGACGATAAGAAGTAAAAGTGAACTAAAATAATAATTTATTACGGGTCATATATTGAGACAGTCTAGTCTTCTTCTAAGAGAAGATTGACAGTGCAAGTTAAACAAATTTATACGAATTAGATGACAGTTTAAGCCTCATCATATTACACATTCACTGTGCATTTGAATTTAATTTATACCTAAGTCCTACCGTAACAAAATGTACATTTTCAAGAGGGACTGTGAGACAAAAACCATTCAACATATTATTTTAAGCCACAAATAATAGGAGGCAAGTGAACACCCATACAAAATCCTTGAAGAGGAAAAACATTTGTTTTGTTCGTTTTATCATTACTTTCAAGTTTGTTAAATTAGTTACCAGTTTTGAAAATGTTTAGGATGGCATTCACGAACACGCTAGAATACCACGTGTAACCCTTAATTTTGTGGATTTAATTATTGTTAGTGAAATATATAACGCTTATGCAAACATATGGACTTGGACGCTGCGAGCCTTAGCAATAACGAAGTGCCTTAGTAATACCACGACGTTTTATGCTATTAAACGTATATGGAAAGTTAATGCAGTAAATAATAGTTAAATTTCTGAAGCGCCACATTTGATAGTAAAGTCTAGTACACTTTAAGTTATATTAAATGAGCCGTAATAAACTGGTGTTCGTCTCCCTATCACCTTTTAGCGCTAACTAGGATTTACTTGGTATTACATGATTATAAGGTAATATTAAGCACAGAGATAATAAACATAAAACATAATTCTCGAAGATCATCTGTACCAGTGTTTATAACTATTCTTCACCAATAATTCAGACAAGCCACACAAAATATTTACTCTACATAACAGATTAACAGTAGATAGAACTGTACAAGGAGTGGAATACGCTTATGTTTACAGTGAAACAAACATTCTTCCTTGCATATCTGTACCATTTAATTTTGTGTTGTTTTGTTTGGTAATGTGTTTACCGTGTGGAGAAACGACGTAAACTCAGCCACGAAGCTTCAGAAGTTTTAAATTATACTCATTGGGATATCACAAATATATCAGTACTTTGTTATTAATGATCTACCGAATGTTCGGTTTCTTCTAAAGTATCAAGTCTAGGCTTGGTAATTATAGTGACTGTTCATCTTTAATCTTTATCCTCAATAATTGGTTTGGCACACTACAAAACTTATGTGCAGCAAAATTAAAGCGGATGCAGAAACAGCTTATCTCTTCTGAATTTTGGGATGAAATTGATAAAAGTAACGAGTATTGAGACAATTAGAAGTTACCGATGTCTGAATAAAGCTAATATAAACACCTAATATTATTCAAAATATTCTGCCTGTGTGTAAACAAAGAATTTCATCTATAAAAAAATTCCCACAGAGACATATTGTTTAGGTAAACTTTCAAAACACAACTTAATTCAACAGTGAAATATGGTCATAGTGAAAAAGAGATGGTATTATCAACTTATGGATATGTTGAAAAGTTTAGTGACTAGTATACCTGTATCTTTCTGATAACACTGCCGAATTTAAACATTGGGTTTAAATTAACATAGTGAGAAACAAACAGATAGTTAACATTCATAAACAAATAATATAATTCAAGGGATAATTCAATGAGCAAAAATTCGGTCAGTTAAATATATCTTTTGACTTCAATGTATTGCGTGGATAAGAGATTTTTCGAGCTTCTAGCGTATTTTAAAAAGAAGTTGTACCTCGAATATGTTACATGTTTTGTAAAAGCTTACGTAGGCATTTAGGGATCTAATAATTATCAATCATTGTAATTACCGTGACATACCAAATATCACTTAAAGTATATGAAAAACAATCCTAAAAGGCTACAAAAGATCGGCAAAACTGAATAAAAACCGTGGTAAATATGCATAAAATTTGTACAAATAAAATAGCCAGCGGAAACATTATACCACCTAGGCTTCCTAAAATTTGGCTGTTTGAATACAGGCAACAAAGCCGGTAAATAGTGTTTGAAAAGTTCTTAAGCATAATCTCCCAAATGCACAATATAAATAAAACTGTCTAAACATGACCATGAACAATGTTCGCTTAAGTGATCATCTATCTCATTCAGCATCTGCATGTACAAACGAAGTCTTATTTAAGGAAAAAAGCATGTGAAATAAATCATCATTATGAGAACGTTCTAAGAATAAGTACTGCAATTATCGTAAAAATTTAGTGGTTTATGACATGTTTCATTTCATGACAATACCACAACACATTTTTAAGCTGATGGATCACACTTCAAGCACTCCAGATTGGATACTTGTCTCTTGCTAGTGACTAGCCTGGCTGTATAGGTACTAATGCCCAATACGATATATTACTGGATATTATATATCCATATAACTTCGTTATATTATTATTTTATCAATAGTTTTATATATATGTAAACTGTTGATTATAATCCAAATATACAGTCTGAGAACTATTGTGAAATATAATCGCTGTCAGGGTGTGATGAAATCTCACTGAAAGGATAGGATCAACGGTGAGGAAAATGTCATATTTTCTTAACAAAATATTGTGTGATATACAAGAAAACGAAACTTGCGGTGTTTCAAGTCACTTGGATATTGAAATAGTGGTTGATTAAAACATTGTTTCGGATATCTTTGTGGTTGGCTAGCCTGAACAATTTAACCCACTGATCTTTGTGCTTAGATGGTAAACGTCTGTTGATTTTTCTTGATAAAAATTTAAAAAGTAATGAAAGTGACTATCGAGTTTTTGGTGATCGGAGGTATAATTTATGCAAATTAGTGATCACGTCTAATAAAAGGTGACATGCGTATGCTGATGACTGTTACGAAACCGATACAAGTAGTTCTACTGGTTCACAATGTTTGGCTATAGGTCAATTTTCATGAGTTTCTGGAGACTATATATTATTTTCTGGGATGTTTTCTGAAGCAGTTGCCCACATTTGTGGCTCAAATTATCTCGAAATTCAAATTTATCAAGGATTGTGACTGTTACGACACTAGTCTTAAGTCGATACACAGGCACGATGACTTGATTCGGGGTATTTGGTGCTCCATATAAAATTCACTTGTGAATGTGCCAGACTGTTCTGTTTCCATCATTCGCATCTTGCGTATATGGTTTATGGTTTAACCTGATCATTCTTCTACTTTTTCTGGGCATCGATCACCAAGAGACGTCATACAGTGTGAATTCGCTCAATATGTAACAGTAGTTAGTCTTATCAATAATTTGGTCTTCATTTAACCACACTTGAAACTGAAAGTGTGATTCTCATTATACCACCGTGGTTAGCTAAGCTATATAGAATCAGCAATGCAGATCAGACTATGCATTATAACTTGAGCAGTAGCGGTCCTTTAACAACTCAAATGCTAAATGAACAGTAGGCCTTGTCAACTGACTGCTTTTTGGTTTTAAGCAATAAAGGACTGCGCAAAGATCAGTCATTTTTTTATAGCTCCAACTGGCGCTGAGTGTCTTATAGTATTCTTTATTCTAAGGGATTGTTCAACAAAATTATTATTGCCAATATTATTATCCGTCGTCGATATATTAGTGACCAATATTCCAAATTAATAAGATATTGCAAAAGTAGGCCTTTGAATCAATTACGAAGCATGAAATTTCGCAAAAACATTGTTCACTATGATTAACCTACCAAATGCTCACGTCCAATGAACTGGTCAAGGAAAAATGTAACACCTTCAAAGTCAAAAATGATCAATAGACAAATCGACGCACATTTCTTTTTCAGATCAGATTACTGATAAGGTTTCTCTATGAAACTAATTAATAAATGTTTTAAAAGCTAGTGAAGTAATTCATGAACACCAGCTATAAAAGTACGTGAAACTTAGCATACATTATATGACTTCCCTAATGCGAGAATGACTTAATCTCATAATTCAAAGTTATTTGGCAGTTTTAGTTCTTATCGCGAAAACCTAACATTATATCGTTGTTCCTGCATATCACATTCGCTTTCACGTTAGAGACTACTTCAGATTCTAACCTTCTCTTTTTTCTTTCGTCCGTAGCTGTAAGTACTATTGGCTTGCTTTACTCGGACCTGGAAACTCGCTAGGAACTGATTTTTTTACTTCTCAATCGACCTTATGAATTTTGGTTTTAAAGGATGTATACATATTAGGCGGGTTCCGCGAATATTGGCTGCGCTACTCGTTGGTTGTTTCGTATGGGAATATGATGTCTTGGAGCTGTCATTGGTAAAATGGATATGTAAGTGGTCATTAGTTTATTAAGATGGTGTTTTTGTTTTTGCTTTTCTGACGACATTTTTTTATTAAGGGTGGAGAACCTCACAGACTTCTCTCGAGATAGTGATGGTGGGAGCGAAAGAGAGTATGTCTCACAAATCTGTAGTGACTTCTTTTCTAGCATGTTTGAAGTGACGAGTACTAGGCTGTCTGCCTGTAAACACGATGGTGGCGATCATCAGCAAGACAAAGAGAGGTATGCAAGGTAAGTCAATACTTAATGTCATTCGAATTTCCTAGGGAAAGTCACTGTGAAATAGAGAGACGAAGACGTAACAAAATGACTGCATATATAAACGAATTATGTGAAATGGTACCAACTTGCAGTTCACTCGCAAGGAAGCCTGACAAACTTACTATTTTGAGGATGGCTGTAAGCCACATGAAATCGATACGAGGTACCGTCTAAATAAATTTTTCCAGTGTAATGCAGAATAGTAGGGTGGAGTACTTAAGTTCTTATTGGCTATATTGTTCTTGTCCTCCCAGACTTCAGTTTTTGTCGTTTCTATTCGTTTTATTTTCCATAATCTCAATGGCCAAAATGTTTGACTTTTCCTATTTATTATCAAATTGATCGAAGTGTCTGGGTCTCTTTTGGCATGTGTTTAACATTTATTACGTTCTGTTTAGTAGTAAATGCATCGTTCGGAAGTTGAGTTCCTGATGAATATTCTCTGTAGTCACTGATAGCTAGAGTTATTTTCTATGCTTAATCAGTAGGTTAGAGAAATGTAAAGTTGATTTTTTAAAAAGTTTTTTTTCATCGTTATTCAGCTAGATATTTGCAAAAACCATCATCAAAATCGCCTTAAAACAGCATCAAATGTTCTTCCAGTCATTGTGGAATTAAGCGTTTTTCCATATTCATACGATCATATGCGGTCAAATAGCACGAATAAATTTCATTTATGATCCAGTCAATCTCACCGTCCATCTTCAAACTTGAATTTCTAGGAGTTGTAGTAATATTCAGAAGACACTTAAGTTCTTAGATATTTCCATTTAAATTATTGTCTTTTCCCAGATCACTTATGATGCATACTTGTTTCTTTTTCTGGGTTCTAAATTTTCGATCTTTCGTGGTATCACTCATGTTTTATTTAATTCCACTATTTTGTTATTCAACTTGTTAATTCCCACTTCTGCCGTATATATTTTATGTGGCGACCTAGGCACAGGGAAATTTCTACTCGATCTCTACATTTATTGTGATTCATTTGTGGGTAACTGTGAGTCGTTGTACTCCACAATAAAGCGACGAAATCTTAATAATAATGACAATCACACTGTGTTAAAAGTATCGATACTGAAACTGGAAGTGAATCTAATTAATAAATACGTTTAAATACTTTGATTTGTAGCAGTACTTGACTTAGGATCATAGCATGGGATTCGGGAGTTTCGGTTAGTATCAGCTATAAACCGGTACACGAAAACCCATCATCCAGCTAATAAGTCTGTACAAAAGAGGCTGAAAATAGTTTAAAAGAACTTATAAAAGAGGTAGTCGTAATTCACTGATGCATTGGTTAGACTTCCACATCTGCAATATTTGGAAATCATGGCAGATATCGTGTACAGACCAAATCGCAACTCTACGGATCATTGTGGAACAATCAGTTGAATGGAATTCATCACTCTACATCAACTTCATTGACTACGAAAATGCATTTGATAGCGTGGACAGAAAAACACTATGGAAACTTCTTCGACACTACAGCGTACCTCAGAAGATAGTCAATATCATACAGAATTCATATGATGGATTAAACTGCAAAATCGTGCATGGAGGACAGTTGAAAAAGTCGTTCGAGATAAATACTGGTGTCAGGCAAGGTTGCTTACTCTCACCCTTTCTCTTTCTCCTGGTGATCGACTGGATCATGAAGACGTCAACATCTGAAGGGAAGCACGGGTTACAATTGACATCTAGGATGCAGTTGGACGATCTGGACTTCGCAGATGATCTGGCCCTTCTATCCCAAACGCAACAACAAATGCAGGAGAAGACGAACAGTGTAGCAGCAGCCTCAGCAGAAACAGGTTTCAATATACACAAAGGGAAGAGCAAGGTTCTCCGATACAACACAGCATGCACCAATCCAATCACAATTGACGGAAAAGATTTGGAATATGTAAAAACCTTTACATATTTGGGCAGCATCATTGATGAACAGGGTGGATCTGATGCAGATGTGAAGGCGCGGATTGGCAAAGCAAGAGCAGCATATTTACAACTGAGGAACATCTAGAACTCAAAGCAACTGTCAACCAACACCAAGGTCAAAATTTTCAATACAAATTTCAAGACAGTTCTACTGTATGGGGTGGAAACCTGGAGAACTACGAAAGCCATCATCCAGAAGATACAGGTGTTTATTAGTAGTTGTCTATGCAAAATACTTCGATCCTTTGGTCGTACACTATTAGCAACATTTTACTGTGGGAAAGAACAAACTAGATTTCAGTGGAGGAAGAAATCAGGAAGAAGCGCTGGAAGTGGATAGGACACAGATTGAGATAAGCACCCAACTGCGTCACAAGAAAAGCCCTCACGTGGAATCCTCAAGGCCAAAGGAAAAGAGGAAGACCAAAGAACACATCACGCCGAGAAATGGAAGTAGACATGAAAAAGATGAACAAGAATTGGATAGAATTAGAAAAGGAGGCCCAAGACAGAGTGGGTTGGAGATTGCTGGTCGGCGGCCTATGCTCCATTGGGAGTAACGGGCGTAAGTAAGTAATATGTTAAGATAGCCGAATCGTGTCATGAGTCTCTATTCCCTTACCTGATACCCATATACTAGCAAACGAACATTATTTGAATGCTAAGTTGCAATATTTTATTTTGCTGAAAAGTAGTAGCTAACAAACACAATCAAGAGTTGTGTTTTTATTAAATACCTTCCTACTTGATTTCCTAAAGATTTCGTTCATTTTAGGAACTGGGAGTACAACATCTGATGGATCATACAAACCCTCATTTCTTTCAGATCAAGAACTTAAGCATTTGGTTTTGGAAGTGAGTTTTGTAACAATATATAACTATTTATCCAGAATAAAACCTTTATGTTTTTCACACATTTTCATCCTTTTAAGAGAATGAATAGTGTATCAGCATTGTAGTTAGTGACATCTGCTTATAACCAATCATTTCAAAACATGAAACAAGTTGGTGGAACGAAAACCCCGTGAAAATTCACGAGTAACTCGAACTTATTAAGAAATTGTCAGGGCTGTATTAATACCCTACTCAGTTTACGCATAAATAACTGATTACTTAATAGGTCCATCGCTTTTTTATTTTTTGTTGTGGTTGTAACGTGAGCGCAAATAAATCATTAGAAGAATAAAAAATAATAATTACTAGTTCTGTAGCCTACCCACCCGCCATTCAAATTTAAACCTGATTACAAAGTTTGATTCTTTCCTATATGAATTTTGGTGGAGTAAACTCAGTGGATTTCATCATCTGACCATTTGAAATTATATGGAAGTTAAAAAATAAAAGCTCTTAAATGGAAGCTTCATATTTATAAAAGCTGAATGTTTCTAAGATTCAAATGGAGTAGCATGTACTAGCGAGGGCTAAGTACTTAATTTTAGAGGTTACTGGGACAGATTTCAATGATGAAATAAATTGAACATTGTCGTTCGCTTATTTGGAAGGTGTCTATGTACTGTCCTCACCTGTGAGTTTTCAGTTGTAATATACTTATTACAATTTCACCATGCTATTTCTAATAAACAAGTTAAATAACGTGTTGTATTGGTTTTCCCATGATTTATGTTCTATCATATACTACATATAAAATAAAACTGAAAAAGTGTGATGTCAATGTTGTTATAAGCGCAGCCTACATATTTATTAGTTGTACATTATATGATGGTCCATTTTAACTACATCTTTTTCTAAGGCTGCGGATGGATTTCTTTTTGTTTGTCAATGTGATACTGGAAGAATCATCTATGTGTCTGACAGTGTAACATCTGTGCTCAATCAAACCCAGGTACGTAGTCCTATAATTTTGTGTGCCAATGTATATGTACAATTCAGACTACACTAAAAGATAATACGTCAATTTTCTTTGTACTTATTATAAGTGAAGTAACGGAAAGTATTTATGGCAAAACAGTTTCATGGAAAAATGATCGCGTTAAAATCAAAGCTATTAATAGCTAAGGAACAACTTTGAAAAGAAAATGGATATGTTTATGCTATGGTTACAGAGCAAGCAGCTTAATTAGTCGTGACAATTTTTAATTTAAATGAAAGTTTCACAATCTGACGATTCAACTCAGAAAAAAAACACTAGCAAAAATTAGCTATTGTCGTTTACAAAATGTCAATAGATTGTCACTCAGTCACTGACTACCTGTTTTAAATTTGGAAGTTAAGAAACAGCTTCCATATTAAACTTCGTGTTTATCGGTCAGATATTAACCTTTAAGTATTATCTTTAGTATTAAATAGGTCTTATTTCTCGTTTCAGTGTTTTATTATTGATACTATTAAATATTTTGTGTTGAATTATTCATAGTTATTTAAAAATTTGTGATTATCTATCATTTAACAGACTGAGATTCACCAAAACAAACTTTGAAAACTTAATAGGCATTATGTAGATGTCATCCTGATGACAATTTTCATTGTATTTTTCACATATGACTAGTAATTAGAATTTGAGCCGACAAAATTTGTTGTGTTACAGACATTAGAGAAATAAAAGCATAATAAACACTGGATGAATTTATTTCCTTCTGTTATCAAAGATTATTTCAATAATAATAGTACATGTGTGTGTAGAATAATTTGGTGTGATTTAAAAAATAACTAATAGTTTGCGTAAATTTCATTTTTGGGGTGTTATTGTCATGGGAAGTAATTTTAATAATTAATTATGTTTTCAAGGCTTATTCATGAACTCACTATCCAACGTCTTTTCCACAAAAATGTGGACTGATAGTGTTATGATCCCAGTTTAACTATTATGAAAAAAAGGAAATCTGCTTACTCGTAAATGTCACTAATAATTAATGGTAACTGTTAGCATCATGGGATTTTTCCCTGAACTGGCCTAACACAGTTCTTCTATTTCGGGCGCACACATATGTGCACGACTCAATTCAAGAGAAAAGAATAGGAACAGATGGACAGATTTAAATTTATTCCACACTAAAACTAAACAACTAAATAAAGCATCTGAAGTCCTATTTTAATATTGGTTTCGTTTAAGTTGGTATTTAGTACAAAATTGAATAAACGTGATTTTAGTTTGCTCACAACTGATCATCATTATTATGGAGTTGAAGGCCAAGCTTTTTTCCATTTTTAGTTGTTTACTGAGTCATGCGTATTATCGTTACAGTGTTGAGGAGTAGTTTCGTGGGTTCACTAATTATGTCTATTACCCTTCGGTTCACCATTACGTTGATATTTTTGGGTTGCATAGCAAAGTACAGGTTATGACATTTAGCATGGCAAAACAGTCTGCTAATGTCGTAAAAACACAGATATTACAACCAGCAAAGTAATTTACTAAATCACACACTCAACCTAATTTCGAACTAGTTGGCAAAACAATTGAAGTTTGGAAAATTCACTTGGTTTTCATAGACAAATACAATGAGTGATCCGTATCGGATTTTGTTTAAAAGTTTCCTAGGCAAATATACTTGTATGACTTTCAATAGTCTCCGAAGTAACTTATCTGCTCTACGAAAACTTTAGATTTATTTCTCTAAAAAATACGATTCCTAGAAAATCTGGTTAACACATCATTATTGTCTTATCAAAAGCACTAAATTGTGGGTGAACGAATTGTTTTTAAATTATCGTTATATCGATCAAATCTTGAGAACTCATCATTTTTAAAAAAATCGATATTGGTACAGGATTATTTTTTATCGGCCTGCCTTCACTCCATAAAGTTTGAAGTATTTAAGGTGTCATTTTTCGAATTTCTATTGATACACATTCTCTGTAGCCTTCTTTTTTTTAAATACATATGTGTAATTAGAATAATCTAGACTACTTGTGATCAGTAGTGTTATATTTTATGTCCTTGTTTTTAACGTTTTAGTCAGAATGGTATCAGCATACTTTGTACGAGTTATGCCACCCGGATGATGCAGAGAAAATATGTGAACAACTTACTGGATCTATATTACCGTCACAAGGTGCTAGTATTTTAGGTCTCACAGGTCAAGCTTCTTTATCGAATAGTAATTCGACCAATCTCACCAAACAACCCGCTGGATCAGACCTTAAAATGGGCCCTGTTGCATCTGATTCCTCTCCTACATCAGTATCTGATCTGGTATCTACCCACATATGCGCTTCCCAACGCCATAATTCTCCAGCAAATTTGACTAATAATATTTGTTCGTCACCTGCTCCTGGGCGGATACTAGATTTAAAATCTGGCACATTGAAGAAGGAAGGTCATCAATGTACGTTACATTCAGATATTTATAAGCTATATTTTATCAGGAATCAAAATTTTTACCATGCTAAAGCGTGTTTCTTGTATGTAGTACGTAGTATTAAACAAAAATAAAAACGGATTCTTTACAGTGAAAATTCTGTGTTAATCAAAAATACTGAAAATCACAAATCTACATACGTTTTTTCCATCGTTTGACTGTTGGTGGATTTCGGGTTAAGCATCTCTCCGCATATTGCATTTATATAACGATGGAATAAAATACTTTATCCTGTCTTTCCTGATTGTGATTTTCTACTTGTATTTAATCATTAGTTAAGACCAAGATATCTTGTTTTCTCTTCGTTTTTTCATATTTTACTTTGAAACGTAACAATCATTGTTTTCAGATTTGCGTATTGTGAATAAAGGCGTTCGAAATAAAACAGAGATATGTCCACTTGATTTCCGTTTCATCAATGAACTTACAATACAAATAATGTATTAATTTTCTAAATTTATTAGCTGGTTGGTAATCTATAAGAGTATTTGTTCACTTATAAAATAACTTCTAACTATATTATTTGTTACTTGTTTCTGAATTGAGAATAATCAATTCTGTGATCAATTGGTCAGTTTTCTGATATCAAAATTTGTAAATGAGGTTTTATGTGCAGTTAACACTCAGTTATCTTACTTTAATGTATATATGTATATCTTGTTGATGTGATGGTACAACATGAGTTAAACACTTATTAAATATTGAATCAACGAAGTTATTTAATTTAATCTAAACTGTTTTTAATGTGCAAACAGTTCAAATATATCCCGAATTAGTTTTTATGTACTTGTGTAAAATGATAGTAAAAGAATAAATGAACCTGATGACATTTTATCAATAGTGCGATCATTCGAAAGTGCTTTTTCGTGTTTGATTTTATATCTATAACTTCCAACTGTTAGTTAACATTGAATATGATATCTAAGTAGTTATCCATAATTAAATGTACTATTTTTTGCTTTTATTGTTATTCTCAGCTCACTTACGAGGGAATATGAGCTCACGTCGTGGTTTCATTTGTCGAATGCGCCTAGGTTCAGCTATCCAGTGTGCTATGCAATCAGATGCTGGAGTTGTAAGTTCATTAGGATTAACAGCTCGGGCGCGTTTACGTTATCGACATACTTTTGGAATATCATCAAGCGGTCAATGTTCTTATGCTGTTGTTCATGTGACTGGTTTTGTGAAACCATACAATCCTACGATTGACCCCACTCCGAATAATGTTCAAGTTAGTGGTCAGGCTATAGGATCTCAAACATACCCCCTATTCGGTAGGTTTTTAATTATGTGTGATAGAACTTAACTTTTAACTGATTCATTATTAAACGTTCCTTATTCTCCCTCTATTTTACATCTATTCACGTTGGGTTCTCTTTCATTTGATCGCTTTATCGAATGTAAGCCATAAAAACTTTTACAATTCGTCTGTTGCATTACTCTGAGTTAGACGTTTTAGGTACTTATCGCATACATAACCTAAATAGCAATATTGTCGTGTAGGAAAACGTGGAGCAGCAGTCGTTTGGTAAAATTAGTTTCCAACGCTTATGTTTCAATTGCGAACCGTACTCCACCCCTAAGCCAGCTTGCACAGCCGGAATATCACTGACTATTATATAAAGTTTGGTTTGAATCCAAACATATAGATCGCTAATCGATAAATAAGTCACACTAAAATGAATTATTCAAATTATCCTGTAGATGATTAATTTCGATAAGCTACATCTCTAGGAACAGTATTGTCTAGTGGTTGTATTTAGTACTCTGAATATTTGATCTTGTATTATAAAACATGCTTAGCTTAATGCACTCATTTAATGATTTTCTCATTAGAATACTAGTTTATTGCAATCTAAATATTTTGAACATTACATTGAGATTTGCATTTACAACCAATTTTGAACGTTGAAAACATGTTCAATTGGATTGTAAACGCTAGTTATTTTATTCATATGCTTAAAACGCATTTTGCATAGATAATTTATTCCAATTTAATTTTCGTTGAAATTTACCTCATTCGGCGTACACTTGTTAATAGGTAAGATAATTCGTAAACATAAGGTCCAAAATAAAGTGCGCATACGACATATCTCTGTTTAGTGAAAATGCTAATAATATGCAGTTTTCGGAACAACTGAAAAACCATGTAAAAATGTTTGGGATGTATTTCTCTTCTGAATGTAAAATAATGCTTTTGGACTTGTCTACATCAATGCTTATTTTGGTCAAATGGAATGAAGTAGTTAAGTGCGTTGACCACTTCATCTACGTTTGGAATTCCAGTAAGTTGCTGAGTGATAATTGATACGGATACAAAAAGCTCTCCTGGCTTTTTTCAACTTGCGCCACCTACATTACATTAAAATATTCACCTCCCAACTAGTGTTGAATTTAAATTCCAGTCGACTATATATTAACCAACAGTTAGATAACATGGTTTGTTCAGATGGTTAACATTCGCAAGCTATTTGTACTTGGTTATAGGTATCTTCAAACGAATCCTCGCGCATTTCAGAATAACGAGGTGAGAAATCCTGTGGTTGGGTGTGTGGTACTAGGTAAAGTGTCCAAGTCAATTATTAACCCCCATAAACCTCTATCGACTAAGGTGATTAGAGCACGTGTCATGCATGCCTACCACTTACCCCGACGTGCAGTAGTGGCTAACAATAAGACAGTTTGGAACTAAGGTGTAAGCGAATGGAGTAAGACAATATCAGTGTGTAAAGTCATTCACTGCTGATCTGAACCGTGCCAGTGGGTTCAGTTTTTCTGATCTGGTCTAGCAAAATACTGGTAATCAATGTTTGGAGCTGTTGGGTGACATGTCGAGAAAACAGTCTCCATAGTGCAGTAGGATCCATTCCCAGTCTTCCTCCATTTCTTCAGTTTAGTGATAACCCTAACTCTTCTTCTATCTTATTCCTCTTTGCTTCGTATATTTTCGTCTTTGACATCCATTTCACCTGGAAGTAAGTTCTCTCGTCTGTTCTTCTTGTCAAGGACTCGATATATTTATTTGTACTCTCTCACTGATGATTACGAACAGACTTTAATATGCATTCGTTCAAGTTAACATACTTCATGTCTAATATAATGAAAATATTTTCTCGACTATCGAGATGTAGATAAGAATAAACGGAGAATGAAACAATTACATTGCGTTTAGGGAAAGGTAAAAAATGAGTCCTACACCTCTATATTCATTATTAAATGGTCTTTAGTAACTGATTACGATTATGAAATAACCTATACCTCTTCACAAAATTCATGCGAAACGTTAAAAACATACTGAACTGATTTTATATTTTCGTTCTACTACCCTTTACTTTCTACCAATTTATTCGTACGCCAAAATCAAATACAAAATAGACGGTGACTAAATTCATATAACACATAGTAAGGTGATCTAGGCTTAATTCTTCCATATACTCTGATTTGATCACGAGTGTTCAGATACTTACTTACGCCTGTTACTCCCAATGGAGCATAGGCCTCCGACCAGCATTCTCCAACCCACTCTGTCCTGGGCCTCCTTTTCTAATTCCATCCAATTCTTGTTCATCTTTTTCATGTCTATTTCCATTTCTCGGCGTAATATGTTATTTGGTCTTCCCCTCCTTTGACCTTGAGGATTCCATGTGAGGGCTTGTCTTGTGACGCAGTTGTGTGCTTTCCTCAATGTGTGTCCTATCCACTTCCAGCGCTTCTTTCTGATTTCTTCCTACGCTGGGATCTGCTTTGTTCTTTCCCACAGTACGTTGTTGCTAATAGTGTTCATATAAGAAGTTATCAATAATATTACATAATAATTAGAGTTCTCATTCGATATCAAAAAGCAGTACTATATATTTTAATAAATAAATGTCAATGTTGTTCTCAGATCTTGAGAAAAACTAGTGGTGACTACTCAAATTTTCTGTTTTCTCTAGCTTCTTATGTCAACTAAAAATGTTAGCTAAACACATGAAAGAAATTTCTGATTACTCTCTATCATCAGTACAAGAAAAACCATGCTAGGGTATCGAGTTCTAGTATATTATGCAGTATGTAAGGTTATAGGTTATCATGAAAGGGTCATCAAGGTAAATGAACCTTTGTTTCAGTGAGCTGTTTTACGTTTGTTGGAAGTAATACGAGTGAAAATCACATTTATAATCAATACATAATTTTCTGCTAAAAACAGTACTTGAAGATTTACATCACCAACAGTCCTACGATCACTTATTTTTCAAATGACATATTTTGTATATAATTTTGTCACTTCATCCTACAAAGTAATTTATTATTATGTTTACTTACAACATCGCTTAATTGGATTAGTCACCATTTAGACAATGTTCTCAGCAGTTCGAAAAATCAATGATATATCACACATGAACATATGAATTTTCTATTGAAATCATGAGCCGAGCAAAATCGGACAAATTTTGAAAATCCGTAATCACTGAACAGCCGTTTTGTCCTAGCATGGGAGTTTTAAGCGGTAGGCGTTCACGACCCATTTTCTTTTAACGTACGAATTATTATCATCGATGAAATGTAGCATATATTTATTTCATTTTATTTAGGTGAACTGAACTTCAAGTAGTTTATCCCTTTGATAAATTTAGATAATTCAATGAGAAGATGAAGCTTCTGAAAACCATGTAGTATATTTCGATCAATCTGATCACACATTTACTTGTTAAGACATTTATGTGTGAACAATAAAGGTCATGTATTATTCCGTATTCTCTTTGTTCTACTCATATCTCGCTATTTATCTGGTTGGTTATTATTTTACATATATAAATGTTCTTAACAAGTATATGTGTGATCAAACTGTTCGAAATATATTGCTCTAATATATCATATACTTCTCATAATTTTTATCTTGTTATCGAACTATCTAGACTGAACTTTGCCATAAAACCCTCACTGAAATATGGCCTAACTAGTGTATAAGGAAAAAAACTGATATATAAAGTTTTTTTTTCTTTCCATAATAAATGTCTGTTAAATAAGTTTACTATTTGCACATTCCATATACACTCTTCGTAAATATGTAACTATTAGAAATTAAATGTACCTACTTAGTGACTCTTATTTCTATTTTAAATTATAACGAAAGACATCCTGATGATTTTTTTTCCTTCAAATTTTAATGTATTTATAAAGCACTAAGTTACTGTGTATTCATGTATTCTTTGTTATTAGTTTATTGACCAAAACAACAACAAAAAATTAGTAATTAGTTAATTTGGTAAGTGTAGAGTTGAGCATTTTGTTTTCAATTAACTATTTCACATCAACAAAATTTTCTTATTGTTTCGATTATTTTTAAGATTGTTTACGGAATGATTTAATGTGAAATGATAGCTTTTACCATTATTTTTTGTTGCTTGTTTGTTTCTATAGTTTTCCAATTTAAAATATTGAATTGCGTCTATTTCTCAATATCCTTTTTTCCTGCATTTAACGCATGTACTAATATCATTTTATGTATGTGTTTGTTTGTTTTAATGGATTGTGTTATTAATCTACTCATTCTGTTCTTGAATAAAAATAAAGCGAATTCAGCGAAGAAAGTTTTCTTTTCGATGAAACCATTTACTTAAGCCGTACATTCGTATTTATAGTTGTATGATAAGTATGATGCAATCTTTTCTATCCTCATATATTTACCATTAGTACAAATGTACAGCTTATCTAAATGATTTCATTGAGAAGAATATTTTTTTCGTTGAATTCTCTTTATTTTCATTCAGTGAAACAATGGGTTATTTTAATTATTATTTTATTGTTCTAATCCTGATTTACATTTTAAATCTAGTTTTACTAAATTCTATAGACTGTTTAATCACTTAAATAAGTAGTATTTCTTGTCATTTAACAAGTAAACTTTATTTTTTTTTTAAATTCTTTAAAGAAGCTCTGTTCAAGTATGGGTCTATTAAGATGAGTGTTTTAGGTTTTCCAAAATAATAGTTTATATATTTTGGAAACATTTTATAAGGGTAACGTTTTTATCTTCTTCAGTATTGTTAATCTACATCTATATCTAATAGTTATTAAATAATTAGCTTTAGTGCTGAATAGTATAAGTTGATTATCATCTTTTAACATCAAAATAACTATATTTTTGCAGTTTATTCTAGTTCAGAAATCACAATCGTCCAAATTTTCCTTCTTTGAATTGCACTAACAAAATAAAATTGAGTTTACAGGAAATTGAGCGTAATATCTCACTTAGTGAATAAGTATTGTACAGATTATCTGGAGATGAATG